AATACGCAAATCAAAATCTCAGCACATAATTTCTAAGGTTTTAATTTACTTCTTTATCGGTGTTGTTTATAGCATGCAACGATTTTTGTTAAATACATGAACAATGCACATGTTATAAAAAAAAAAATATAAACAAACAAAAAAACATAAAAATGGAAAAAATGATATTTGTATAAATTGAACAATCACAAACAAAATAATAATTAATCAACTAACCTGTGAACGCTTCTTACACACACACTAATAACAAATTGGATTCAACAATCAATTTTAATGCAAAATAAAAATGAAAATTGAATAATGAATAATTACAGACACGCGACACGTTTTCTAAGGTACCAATCCAGCTCGTTCTGTAGTCTAGTTGCGTATTCTCTTGTATCCTCTTCGGTTTCGGTACCTTCGTTTTCTGTGGCACGCTTTCAATCCTAAACTTGAGGGGGCATACATGGTTGCAACATTTATTTTTATTCAGTAAACGTTTTTTTTTTTAAGTTAAGATTTGAAGAAATAATGTTTTAAATAGGTGGTTTTCCTCAGTATAAAATATCAATCCGTAACAATTTGGCAACCAAATTGGAGGGGATACACCGGTGGTGAATTGCTTTCTTAGATGTTGGTGACACAAAATTTTGTTTACTGTAATGTTCATCTGTGTTAAGATGTCATTGGTTTATTTACACAATATACCCATCAACGAATGTAAAAAACACGTGAGTCACCATATTTTGACACCCACCTCTAGCCGTAATTACAGGTGATAGGTAGAAGGTGTAAATACAAAAGTTGTAGCATTTTATCTGAACCGCCAGAATGTTTAATAAAATTGTACAAAATGATCAACGTAACGTAAGAAAATATGTCGATGCTCACTTTTTTTAGATGGAATGCTCTTTATTTTTTTCCAAATTATTAAAGTTCTCGTTTTTCTGATTCAGATTAAATGTATATAATATGTTAATGTTTCTTTCAATAGTCTTGAAAATATCTAGAGTTTAGTTATTCAAAGACAGTATAGTTTTTTGAGAACCTTGATTTACCTGTCACAAAACATTCTGATACCTAAATAGGTCTTTGAATAACTAAACTTCAGATATTTCCAAAACTATTGGACGAAACATTAACATATTATACAAGATATCAATAAAAACTTTCAATGCGAATATCTCTGAAAGTAAAAAGGTTAGAAAAACGTAATTTGGTACAAATGTTATACAGGTAAGGGGAACTAGAACCACCATATTTTGGTCAGAATGACCCCTTGGGGGCTTCATGCACCCCAACCCCAATATTTCAAATGGTATCACCCCTTTTGTAATACTTAAAATGTAATATTTTTTGAAAAAAAAATCTTGTGCAGGTGAATATTATACTAAAAATATTTAATTTTAGCTATTACAAATGGGGTGATGCCATTCAAAATTTTGAGGTTGGGCTGCATGGGGCCCAAGGATTCACTCATTCCTTAGCCAAAATATGGTGGTTCTATTTCACCATACGTGTATACTATTTCTACCAAATTACGTTTTTCTAACTCTTTCACTTTCAGAGATATTCGCATCAAAAGTTTTCAAATTGACACCCGTATAGGTATAATCTGAATGAGAAAAACAGGAACTTCCAGAATTTGCAAGAAAATAAAGTCCATTCCATTTAAAAAAGTGAACATCGACGAATTTTTTTGCCTTGCGTAACTCATTTTGTTCAATCTAATTAAAAAGTATGGCGGTTCAGATAAAATGCTACAACTTTTGTATTTACACCTTTCACCTATCACGTGTAGTTACCACTGTAGGTGGGTGTAAAAATATAGTGTGCGCAGAATCCGAAATCATTCATGGGACGGTTTTTGATGTGTTGGAAGAGACCTTAGGTCAACGTTTATATCTGGAAAAAGTCGTTGAACACCTACAAATTACAAGATGGACTGAAACTTGAATTGACAATTACAGTAATAACGTCACACTGGAGGGCAACCAATCATTTTGTTGTCAACTTTAAAGCTTTCTTGTTTAAAAACTTGTCGAAAAATGCCAAAATAATGTCATTTTTGGTTATAGATGTTTGCCCTCCAGAGCAAATTGTCATAGTCATCTGGACTGAAATGGTCAATAGCGGAGTTTTCAATGAATGCATCCTTCCGATAATGACTGGCATATTTAGACATTTTCCAAAATCAACCTGGAAAAAACTGAGCAGCGAAAAGAATGAATAGATCAGAAACTAAATCAGATGGATGCTGGGAAATGTATCACAACTTTGAAATGGAAAAGGACGAAAGATGCTATTGAAATCTATGGTTAAGACACCGATCAACGATTCGTGATGATGATTTCAAAAGAAGTAGTGGATCGAACTGGAAACAAGCAACACAAAGATCGTCGAGTTGAACTATAAGAAAGAATCAAAACTGGTCCACAAATGGTCAAAATTCCGTATTGGATCGTTCCATAAGTCGAATCTCGTTAAACTGGGGACGTTCTCTCTTCGGATGCCCCAAAATAAAGGCGACGATTTATTAAGGACGAGGTTTCAATTTGTTTTAACGTACAGTGATCGAGAGTGTTGCATATGCGGCGCTAACTGGATCCAGATTCTGGAAATGCATTTTGCATTTGTCGGCCGGAAACTTCCAGGCTGCCACGGCTCTTTGTTATATGCCATTAAAGGCTTCCCCCCGTCTTTCTTTTTTTTTTTGGATTATATTTTCAGTTTAAATCGAATTGGAACTATAAATTTTTTGTCACAAAAATGTAATAGCTGTTCTTATCGCTCCTATTTGCAGATCGAGGTTTTTGATAACTATCAAACCAAAAATGATGGCATACCAGGATGTTGCTTATCGTTATCGACGTGCCATAGCCACTATCGTGGAAGTTTTAAAAACGCTTCCGGCAATTGACAAACCATAAAATTGTTCGAATTTGAAATAAATACAATTCTCTTCGTCAAACATTAAAACCAGGTGTTATTAGCCGCGCGAGCAATCCACATGAAAAACACGTATCTGGCCGTCTTCATCTCCACTGAATAATACATTGGGTTCTCTTCTTGCGTTCGTGGGTTTTTCTCTTTAAAGATTTAAAAGGGGATAAACGATTCGTATCGGGCAATTCTGAGAGTCAGTCGTCGCCGGCTTGGTTCGGTTGGTACCCACCACCAAATTGATTGAAGCAATTGATAGGATTGCTAATGATCTCAAAATTTCAATACCAAATATGATGGTACTTTTCTATAATTCACATTATCTTGCCGCTTTCCAAAACTTCTAATTCCTTTTCTTAACACCTCCCAATTTAAAAACTAATTTGGCGATCTCCGATATCGATAAATCCGCCAGTTTTAGACTCATGAATATTCAGAAGTAGAAAGGCTGAAAGACTTAATAAATCAAGTTGTAATCGAATGTTCTCTTTTTTATTTTTATTAATCGATACTTCTTATTACCTTTCTTTCTGGTTATAGTCAAATTTGCTATTCCAAACGAAATAATTGTATTCAGATCGTTCGTGAAGCCATTAAAATTTTGGATACGAAAGGAAATTAAAGATTGAAGTTAAGGATTTCAATATCGGCTTTTGCGACAAGATGGATTTATTTGATTTCGCCTCCAAGGAATATCCAGATACAAAATTTATTGTTTTTCCAAAACAGCCCGGCCGCTTTCCAACGATTCCTATACCGAACAATGAAATCTTTTAACAAGGACTAGTAAGTGTATACACAAGTTTACTATACGACACCCACCAGTTTTACGTCTTTAAATGTCGATCTAAGGTGCGATATGCTTCTGGGCGGAATGTATTTATAGCTTTTGATTCTGTATACGTGGAGAACAAAACGGGTGTTCGGGTTCGCGATAAGTGCCAAAGTTTTAATTACGTTTACGGTAAATCTTTATTGTGAACCTATACAGGATGTTGTTATAACCAGCCACGTAGTAACTTGAGAGGGAATAGGGTTACCTAATTCAGTCCTTGAGGAAACGGTTGCATCTAGAGAGATTGTGAACTATGAAACATTTTAAAATAAGGACATCTATCTGATCTATCCAACTAAAATATTTTTGTTCTCTACAAAAATTGTCTATAAGTAGTATTCTGTGAACTAGCAAATCAGATATACGAGTTGGGCAATTTCAAGCTTCTCCAACTTCAAAGCACCAGGACCTCATGACACTCATGACATCCATCCAGCCCTACTACAGTGGAGTTTGGAGCTACTCTAGACTCACCTGCGGACGGATCCTCGAGCCAGGGAGTAGAGCTCCTCGAGAGAACAAATTTTTCGTCTTTATCATTCTCATTTACTTTTCGATTACGTTGACAAAGACAAAACATTCGTTCTCTTCTCCCTGGCCCAAGGATCGGGCTTCTGGTAGCGATGTTCAGGTCATTTTTCACGCTAATATATACATACCCAAGGCTTGGAGAGAAGTTAGGGTGGTGTTCCTCTCCAAACCAGGGAGGATGGACTATGCCACCCCAAATCATATCGCCACGTAAACCTCTCATCTTTTTCTCTAAAAACAATAAAAGGGCTATGTGAAAGGTACATAAGAGATGCTGTACCACTGTGCAGATTCAAAAAATTGCTATAAAATAAAATTGATAAATCATACCTACTTTTAGAAAAATTAGCATTTATTTCCACTTATTACATAAGAGACTATTATAGTATAACAATTCAGCTGCCTTATGTTCGTACCAACCTGTTCGCTGTGTCTTTAGCAAAAATCGTATAAGCAAGTCGAGAACGGGTTCTCTCTCGTTGGAGAACCCGATCGTTGATTTTTCTAAATCGGTCCTGACCAATCTGAACGAAGGATCGGCCCCGGAGACTGCCCGCCTTTTCTTGTCAACGCTCCAAGATCTCGGCGAGGAGAGAAGTAGAAACAACAACCAGTTTGTACCTACCTCGTGGTGGTTCCATGTTTTAACAACTTTAAAAAATTTTTGGAGGACAAGAATTTCTTTTGACAATTATGATTTTATTTTCAGGTGACTTGGCTCACGAAAACTCACCGCTGGACTACACTGCAGAGAGTGAAGAAAGAAAAGGTAAGTTAATAACCAACAAAATTATTACACCCTCCATTTGATAAACCGAATCGTGTCATGTGGTGTCTGATCGCTGACAGGCCATTTGGTAGTCGAAAAGGGCATTCTTCGCTTTTTAAGATCCAATCGATTAGGAAGCGATGCGAAGCAGGCAACAGATGTAACGCAACTGTCTCTTAGTAATAGTGACGTTGTTATTTAAGAGGGTCGAGCAGGTAACAAACTTCCTTCAAACAAGGTGTTGATGTTTTTTTTGGTCAATTGACTAGAACAATTTTTATAATTATAATAATTGACCATGAAGTAAATTGAAAATGGTTTCTTGCAACAAGCAACTAACTAAAGTTTCTTATCTGTAAACGCAACATATCGGTGGGGACATTATAACGTCCGTTAGACGCGCACTCAATACTATCTCTAGTCGATCTGATCGGTCGTTTTCATCCGGGGACAACATCCATTTAGACTCTGTGTGTCCTGTTTGAACGTTAATAAAATGTATACAGTGTGAAAAAAAAATCAATTCAAATAATGTCTGAATTTCGTTATAATAATTAATTATACTAATGATAATGAGTTATTAATTAATATATCCGATGGAAAATAATGTTTCTTCATGCAGAAAAAAAAATAGTAATGACGTGTCTTTCAGTGCCATCACTCACTGATGTTGTTATTTAAAAATTGTGTTGGTTTTCAATGTTAGGTTGAGTCGAAAATGAGTGGACCTATTACGGCCCTATACTGCTACTCATTGGTATATTGTAGCTCATGTTTATGTATTAGTCTCAAATTATGCCTATTGTCCAGGATAGTTGGACTATGGTCAGCAGGTTGTCCACCAAGAGAGACCACAGAAAAGGAGAAAGAACTCCTCCCTGCGAGCAGCCCTAAATTATACTATTTCTCCCTGTAGGGTCATCGTTATATACCTGTTCTCAAACATCTTGCGAATCTAATCACAGATAAGAGGCTCAATTCCTCTGGAAATAGCCGAGCCATAGAGGCTGTTATTAAGGGCTCCCTATAGTGTCAAGTTCTATCGATGTGCCACTCTGGAAGGCGTACTGATAAACACTCAATGGGTTGTGTAATGTATTCAGGTGCAATTAAACGATTGATCAATGATTACTTTGAAATTATTTATGTACCACCTACACTGTAAGAGCTTATTACGTAACTTATTTTAGCCTGTTTGAGTTACGTAATAAGTTGCATTATCGTGCTTAGTGATGACATGAGCTCATTGTGAGTGTACCAATAAGTGGTAGGTATGATCTCCTGGATTCCTGAAGCTGATCACACTTTCCGTTATTAATATCTAATTTTACAAAATACTGGCAACAGTGCCCATGAGTCTTTTAGATACAATTTGCAAGTTATACAATCCACAAGAGTAATTAATGTAATTACGCAATAACTCATACAACAATACAAACTATACAAAAATAAGACTTATATACAGGCTACGCAATTGATGTAATTACGCAATAACTTTTATACCATAATACGACTGACTGAGTTTCCCAAATGCTGAGTCGAGACTTAGTTGAACACCTTCTATGTGTCTTTGAAAGGTGGTACCACCCCATTGAATTCTTCATTCGTATTGCGAGATCGTCGGGTTTTATCTAAACTAAATTCACTTAAATTAGAAACAATTACATTTTAAAACTTATCCTGCCATGCTATACAGAGTCCGACAGGTATAGGAATTCGTCATCAGATCCCGAAACATAGTCTTGAAACTTTGAGTGTTTTGCAATTTTTTTGGTGGACCTACGGCCCAAACACGATTCTTTACTTTTTGGTTTTGGAGATTTTGCAAAGTGTTCTCGATAGCATTGCTGGTCATCACTAATCCTATTATCTACATTTACACTGACACTCACTCTACGTCCCTCGTCAATTTGCTCTATACAATCCTTATTTTCAATGCTTGTCAAAACGTCAGAGCACGGGTCAAAATTTGAATTACCTGAAGTACAACTACTGGTATTAGTATTGGAAATATCAGAAAGAGTGTCCTCAGAAGATCGGTCTACCCCCATGCTGATGCTATCCGCAGAGGAGGAAACGACTCCCAAGGCTGCATTGATCGACAAATTCACGAAATAATCAGAGTTCAACTCAGTACTTTTATGAAATTGAGGTTTATTTTTGTTTACTTGAAACTTTTTATTGGATTCATCAAGTCCCTTAGCCTGGTGTTGGGCAGTTTTAAAAGAATTAATTTTTGGGACCCGACCTTGTTCACCAGTATTACCAAAATCCCGTGGACCCCTCTGGATTTGGTTTGTATGTCGCTTCCAGACCTGACCCATTGGTAGGGCGCATAAACACGTAGTTTTTCCAATTCGTTTTTTCACTGTGGCTGAAGTCCAACTCTCCTTGTTATGGTTTCTGTAATCCTTGATCAGGACTCTTTCCCCCACTTCAAATTCTCTTTTTCGGCCTGCATAATTTCTTATTTGTCTGTTTTTTTTGAGTTTCTGTGTTTGGGTTTACCATTTCGGTTGGAGGTTTTCTACAAGGTTGGCTCTCTTTTATTTGTGATAGAATTGTTTTAGGTTCTCTTCCATACATTAGAAGGAAGGGTGCTTTGCCAGTTTGTTGAATGTGGAATTGTTCTGTATGTAAATAGGAATCTGGAAATCAAAGTTTGAATTGGAAGTTTCAAGTTTCTTGGGTCATCAAGTGCTGCCTTAATTTTTCCTTTGAAAGTTTTCACGGCATTTTCGGCCGCACCGTTGCTTTGTGGGTGATATGGTGGCGTTAAAATGTGTTTAATGCCGTTTTTCATGAAAAACTGTTTCAGACTTTTTGATGTTAGTTATGGTCCATTATCGCTAACTAACCCAAACTGTTTGGTATTCCAAACCTTGCGAAAGTTATTCTTAGTTTTTCCTCAATTTCGTAAGCTGAAATTTGTTTTATCTGGAAACATTCCACCCATTTAGTGTACGAGTCCAAGATGACGAGATACATCTTTCCTTTAAACTCCAAAAAATCGATGTGTATTCTTTGAAACGGTCTGCTGGTCAATTCCCATGGAGTCAAGTGTATTTTAGGTGGGTTTTGTTTATTTACCAAGCAAGGAAAACATGCTCTTGCCAAATTTTCAATGTCATCATCAATCTTTGGCCAGTGAACTAAGGATTTAGCAGGAGCTTTCATCTTACAAATACCCATATGGCCAGAATTAATTATTACTAATATTTTTGGTCTCAAATTTTTTGGTATTGTTATTCTATGACCCCATAGTAGGATGTTGTTTTCTATAGATAACTGGTTTCTTCTATTGTAATATGGCAAAATATTGTCATCTATGTTTTTAGGCCATTTATTGTTCTTCACATTTTTTATGATTCTTGTAAGATTAGGATCTTTTTCTGTTTCCCTTTTCACTTCCTCATTGTCAATAGGCTATTTTTCTTGAGATTCGGTGAAATTTATGAATAACCCTTTGTCTTCAGAAACCTGTAGGACTTCTGTGGAAATAATCTGCAAGTTGGTTCTCTGAACCTTTTATATATTGAATTTGATAGTTAAACATTGAAAGAAAAGCAGCCCAACGTTGAAGGCGATTTGCTGACATTTGGGGTATTTCTTTGTTCTCACCAAAAAGAGCTACCAAGCATTTGCAATCAGTTCTTGAAATAAATTTAACACCGCACAAATACTGATATAAGCGTTTGACGGTATGATAAATTGCAAGTGCTTTTACTTTTTTCTGAAAGAAATAACATTTTTCTTTTCTCAATGTGAAACCTGCCTCTGTCAACCTTTTGAAGACCAACTCCAAGTTTTTCAGGTGTTTCTATGTAGTTTCTCCAGTGATTTTTAGGTCGTCCAAAAATGAATACTCCATCAATACCCTGAATGCGCTAGTCCATTATACGTTGAAAAATTGCTGTAGCCGTTTTAATTCCAAATGGCAATCTCTTGTGGCGAAAAAGCCCCAATTGGGATTACGATTCCTAAGGTTTCTTCGTCCACTTCTATCTGGTTGTATGCTGATCTGATTTCAATTTTTGAAAAATATTCTCCTCCATTCAACTTGGCAAAAACTTCCTCTATTCTTGGTAATGGATAGATGACCTCTTCTAAGAATCTTTTTAATGTTCTTTTATAGTTACCGCATAATCTAATACTTCCATTTTCTTTCAATACTGGAACTAACGGAGTCGCCCAGTTACTATTTTCCATTCTTTCCAGAATACCCTCTTTAACCATTTCATTTATCTCCTGGTCCACGAGACTTCGGTAGGCCAAGGGAACAGGTCGGAATTTACAAAAAGTTGGATCAGAAATTGGTGACAATTGCAATTTATGTCATGTCATGTCAAGATGATAGGACCGAAATAAATAGAAAACTAATAAGCAGCGTGTGAAAAACTTTTTCGCACGCTGTGCGAAAAACTCTATTTCCAGAGGTTGCCTAGCGTGCGAAAAACTCAATTTTCAGAGGCAGTTGTAGGTAGTGAATTATCATTGCACTCAATATTAAATAAAGAATTCCCATCAGCTAAATTTTCGTCATCATCTACCTCAACATTTAAAAATACAACGTTTTCATAATTATTTTGCCTATTGTTTACAAAATTTTCGGCATCAATATCATTACAAGAATCAGTCTCATTATTGGATACGAATCTTATTCTGCTAAAATTTTTACAAACCCTTTCGTGATGAATTTTTTTTTTTCATTTTTGGCACGTTTTCTTGCTGAAAAAACACTTTCTCTGAATATTTCCACAAAATTTACAGGAAAATTGACTTTGATTGATGTTTGACGTTTCAAAGTCACGCCTCCTTGATGATTGACGCTTGACAGCCGTAGCGTTTTCCGAAGATCTCTCCGGTTTTGGTTTCCGCCGGTGTTGCCATATCTGTAGTTATTGGTGCTATTGCGGTTCGGTTGGAAACTTTGGCCATCGTCATAATGGCGGAAATTCTGGTTGGAATTTGGCGGGAATTTTGAAGCATATCTCACCACG